TAACTAAGCTATTGTTTTTTTAAGATTGAAGTTCTAAATAGGCAGTCAAAATTTCACATTTGTTGTTATAGAACATGTTCAAGTAAAATTTTAAAAAAGCTGGTACCTTTTTATTGAACAGTTTTTAAAAGGATGAGTGTAACTGAAAGATAAAACTGATGAACAAAATAGAAACAGGCATGGTTATGCAGAACAGACTGACAGCTGTCAGAGGAAAGGGGTTTGTTGGGAGGCTGGATGAAAGAAGCTGAAAGGATTAAGCATGAAATCATATATGTATATGTATATATATAACACATAGACACAGGCAACAGTTCAGTGATAGCCAGAGAGAAAGGGGAGGTGGGGATAGGTAGAGGTGGACAAAGTAGGGATAAACGGGGACCACGCTCTGTCTGGTGTTGCACAGTGTTTAAAGCATCTGCCCAAGCAATGAAGGGTTGCGGGTTTGATTCTATGCGAAGGTAACTAATCCATGTGTCTCTCGTGTCATGTTTCTCTCTCTCTCTCTCTCTCCCTCCTCCTCCTCCTTTTCCCCCTCTTCCTCCTCCTTCCCTCCCTCTTACTCTCTCTAAAAATCAATGGAAAAAATATCCTCGGATGAGGATTACCAGGAAAAATAAATGGGGAACAAAAGAGACTTTGCTTTGGGTGATGGGTACACAATGTAGTGTGCAGATGGTATTTTGTTGAGTTGTACACTTGAAATCTATGGGGTTTTGTATGGTTTTGTGAACCAGTGTCATTCCAATAAGTTAAGTTAAGAAAAAGAAAGATAATTTTCTTTCATATGTTTTTCTTCTTTAAAATGAAATATTCCATAACAACACAGCATTCACAGATGGGGTAACATAAGAGGATATCTAAGATGTTATTATCTGAATCTACACTCTATAGATTGCCATTTTTGTCTCTCTTTAACCGTGTATCCCTGGTGCCTAGAATAGTGCCTGGCACATAGTAGAAGTTCATGAAGCATTTTTAAATAAATGAATCAATAAATTCTATTAAATATTTTCAGATAGGTATCTCTTCATTTTAATGAAATTTAGAATACTTTTAACTATATGTTTTATCAATGAAAATCTATTTTTATTTTCTTTTGTATTTTATAAGTTTGTCTATAGCTGCATTAAAGATGGCTTCTACAGATTTTTATTTCTCTGTGAATTAATTGCAACTCTTTAAAATTATCCAATCACAAAATATGGAATTATTCCTCAATTAGGAAGCATTTGTCTTCTTATTTGTAGATTGTTTCTGAAGAGCTAATAGGGTATTTAAAAGGTGAATAGATTCGATAGTGATGATCATCTTAAATATGCATCTGCTTCAGAGAGAAAAAATACGTGAAAATATTTTAGAAGCTGTAAAAATCACAAAAGAATATAAGATATTTTTATTCTTGCCTGTCTTCAAAGGCTATGTTGAGACTCATTTCAATATTAGACCTGTTATCAAAAATTGCTCATGAAATATATATGGATTCCAAGACTCTCTTCCTTATTGCCTGTCATGGGGCTTTTAGATACTTGTTAGCACACAGATGAACATTATGAAAAGCTTTGTTTTATTTTCAGGGATTCTTTAATCAAGCTTTCATTGTTTTATGTAGTACTTCATACTAATGTTTCTCAGTATCATGGAAGAACATAGTGTATCCCATATCTCATATCCCTGCCTCATGTCCAAACAGAACAACCAGAGAGATCACTTACTGATTCCATGACCCTAGACCAGTGGTCGGCAAACTGCAGCTCGGCAAACCACGGCTCGCGAGCCACATGCGGCTCTTTGGCCCCTTGAGTGTGGCTCTTCCACAAAATACCGGCTTTTCCACAAAATACCGACTTCTGCACATGGGCCACGAAGTTTCAATCACACTGTACGTGCGCGCCCGCACGTGGTATTTTGTGGAAGAGCCACACTCAAGGGGCCAAAGAGCCACATGTGTCTCGCGATCCGCGGTTTGCCAACCACGGCCCTAGACTATTACTCGATCTCTCTGAGCCTCGATTTTCTCTTTTGTAAAATGAAAATAATGTCTATCTTTCAGTGTTATGAGGAATGAGATAAATAAATGTAACCTTTAAATATAAAAATATAGAACCGGCTGGTCTTGCATCTTTGTGGTAGCTTAATTAGACACAGAAAACTACCCAATTGCACACTCATTCCAAACAAATGTAGATTAAACCTTGTAATTTGAAAAGTAAACAGATACATTGCAGCATTTGAATGTAAGAAAGAGAAATCCCCAGGTGCCTTGTATGAGGAGATACCTGAAAACCAGAGTGGTTAATGGCAACTGAAGCTTGACTATATAGGTTCACTGAATATCTGAACTACACATATGTCTAGATGTCTGTGATTGTAATATTTGAGTGTGATACGATGTTAAAGACCGCAGGCCTCTTAAGGAATTGGAGCTGAGCTCTTTATATAAAGAAAGGAATCTGGAAATGTTATCATGTTAATGAGATCATCTTAAAAAAACAAAAAACCCCCACTCAAACTACACTCTAGTTGGGGTTACAGCACAGAATCAGTCAATAAGAGATACAAATGAATAACCCAACAAAAATAAGAACCTGAAGCTTGTGTTATGTTTGGGCGAATGGTTTAAATTTGAATTATTTGTCTCACATGTAGAAACCAAATTAAGAAATTAATTTTCTTTTTTTTTTTTTAAAGCACTTTCTTTTTTCTTCTTTTTTTTTTCTTTTTTATTGCTTAAAGCATTACAAAGGGTATTACATATGTGTCCTTTTTTTCCCCTGCCCTTGACAATACCCCGGCTTCCCCTACCCCCCGGTGTCTTATGTCCATTGGTTATGCTCATATGCATGCATACAAGTCCTTCGGTTGATCTCTTACCCTCCTCCCTCCTGCCCCCCAACCCTCCCCGGCCTTCCCGCTGCAGTTTGACAATCTGTGTGAGGCAGCTCTGCCTCTGTATCTATTATTGTTCAAAAGTTTATAATGGTCTCTATTATCCATGAATGAGTGAGGTCATGTGGTATTTTTCCTTCATTGACTGGCTTATTTCACTTAGCATAATGCTCTCCAGCTCCATCCATGCCGTTGCAAATGGTAAGAGTTCCTTCTTTTTTACAGCAGCATAGTATTCCATCGTGTAGATGTACCACAGTTTTCTAATCCATTCATCTACTGATGGGCACTTAGGCTGTTTCCAGATCTTAGCTATGGTGAATTGTGCTGCTATGAACATATGGGTGCACATATCCTTTCTGATTGGTGTTTCTGGTTTCTTGGGATATATTCCTAGTAGTGGGATCACAGGGTCAAATGGGAGTTCCATTTCCAGTTTTTTGAGGAAACTCCATACTGTCTTCCATAGTGGCTGCACCAGTCTGCATTCCCACCAGCAGTGCACAAGTGTTCCTTTTTCTCCACATCCTCTCCAGCACTTATCGTTTGTTGATTTGTTGATGATAGCCAGTCTGACAGGTGTGAGATGGTACCTCATTGTTGTTTTGATTTGCATCTCTCGGATGATTAGTGACCTTGAGCATGTTTTCATATGTCTCTTAGCTTTCTGAATGTCCTCTTTTGAAAGGTGTCTATTTAGATCCTTTGCCCATTTTTTGATTGGATTGTTTATCTTCTTTTTGTTAAGTTGTATGAGTTCCCTATAAATTTTGGAGATTAGGCCCTTATCAGATATGACGTTGGCAAATATGTTTTCCCACGCAGTGGGTTTTCTTGTTGTTTTGTTGATGGTTTCTTTTGCTGTGCAGAAGCTTTTTATTTTGATGTAGTCCCATTTGTTCATTTTCTCTTTAGTTTCAAGTGCCCTAGGAGCTGTATCAGTGAAGAAATTGCTTCGGCATATGTCTGAGATTTTGTCCAGAACAATGACATCTATAGGGACTCCAAGGCAGGCAAGCCAGCAGTTTTATTTAACACCACCAGTACTGCCCAGAGCTCTGGATGCTCTGGCTATGGAGAGCCATGCTGAAATATGGCCATGCAGGAAAGTGAAAAAAGCATAATGAGAATGTGTAAGCAGATAGATGAAATGGAATTTATACCCAGGAACTATGCACAAAGACTAATCTGAAAGAGATTTAAATATTTTTAAAGCCTTCAAATATTTAAAAGGAGAGTGTGACTAAAACCAGAATATTATGACAAAGAAACAGAATATCTAAAATTGAAAATATATTTATTGAAGTAAATATCCCTATGGATGAGTAAAACATGAGCTTTAAAAATACCTAGGTGAGAAAAATGGAAGTCAGGTCTATAATATAGTGTCTGCCTTAGAGGAGAAACTCTATAATTATTAGTTCCCTTCCCTTTCCTTCCTCATCAACTCACCTTTTCTGTTGTTGGCACAGCTATAATAATAAAAGTATAATATGCTAGTTAGACTGGACGTACTTCCGGACATCCTGCCTTTCGGACAAAGCCACAGTGGGCGGGGCCCCAGGCAGAGGTGGTGGCGGTGGCAGCGGGTAGGGGCTGGGGCCAAGGCCCTTGCTCGAATTTTGTGCATCGGGCCTCAAGTACTGAGATAAGAGGAATGAACTCCACTTTTACTTTAATTTGACTCTGACCATGTGAGTGAGAAATAAATAGACTGCTGACTCTTTAATCTCTTTAATAATAGAAAGATGTAGTAAAATACAGAGCTTATAAAGATTATAGGAAATTATTTCTCTGGCTATGACCTTGGAGCAGGTACATAAATAGTAGTTTCTGTGGTATTTTACAAGGCATGCATTTCATCTGAGAAGAGAAAGAAGGCAAGGAATCTAATACTTTCAGATAAGATTTGAAACTAAATGCATTTCTCAAAAATTGTGAGTTTAGTTAAAAGGTATAATTTTACTTAAAAATGTATGGTGTGGGGTTTTATTTTACTTTTTGTTTAAATTTCTGCTACATAAGTGATAAATTAGTAGCAACAAGTAAATAAATATGTTCATATGTTTAGAAATTAATTTCAAAACTTTTTATTAATGTTTCCATAGTTTGTGAATCAGCGATTTCCCAAGAAGCTGATGACATGGCAATGGAAAAAGAGAAATATGTTGATGAACTGAAGAAAGCATTGGTATCAGGAGCAGGACCAGCCGATGCATACAAGTTTAATTTTTCTAAAGAGTCTTATCATTTTTCCTTTGAGAAAAACCTGAAAGATGTTTCTGTAAGTAAAACTTTCCAAAATGTGGTAAAATGTGAGAGCACATCTGAGGAATTATTGAAGTAATTAACATATTATTAACCTCAGAAATAAAAATTTGAAAAGTATGTGGTTTCCAAGTTGGAAGAATGCTTCGACGTTACAGTCAATGCTTTATCTTAATGAATTATGAAAAATAATTACTGGAAAATGTGTTTAGTTTTTAATGCTTTAAGTAAATATTTTAGAGATAATTCCATGAAGGAACAGTTCTGAAAAGTGAGGTCAGAAGGTTTAGACAGTTGAGACAAGGTCTATTGAAATACATTTGGGGAAATACTGATTATAAGAAAGAAAATAATATATTTATCTTTGAATATTTAATAATTATAACTATCTACTTATCAGAATGTATTTGGAATTATAAAATGATATAATTAAGTGTAGTAGAATTTACAATTAGGAATTAAGATGTTTTATTTATATTATCAAACTTAGAAATATTAAAATAGAAAGAAATAATTCAACCCCAGCTTTCTAAAGCTTACATGCTTTACAGACAAGGATATGTATTGCTTGTCTTGCTCAGTTCCTATATCTCAGATCAAGACTGGTGATTTATTGATCAAAAGTTTTATGCTTACTGTTTGTATATTTTACCCAAGTTTAAGGGATAATTGGAGAATAAATTGTCTGCATTTGGCCAGTGGTTTATCAATCAGAAATGAGCTCTGTAATAGAAGAAAAGGAGGGCCATCTTTATTACATTAAGTTAAAAGACAGTTATTGACAATTTGTGCTAGAACTAAATTGGTTTAAAAATTATTATAAAAACTCTTTTAACTCAGATGAGTAAAGGAATTTCATCAGTTAGAGAAACAATTGAAGCAACAAATTGAATCATTTTTTTCCAAATGTATATTATCATCTATAATAATAAAAGCATAATATGCTAATTAGACCGGACGTCCTTCTGGACGTCCTTCCGGAAGACCTTCCAGACAAGCCGGGTCTGTGAGGGCCAAGCCCCTTGCACGAATTTCGTGCATTGGGCCTCTAGTATAGAAAATAATACAGAGAGACTGGCGTCAGTAATTGCTTCTATTTAGAAGTTATATACTTTTTAAATTAGCTGCCAATGTATGTAAGTTTCAATAAATTAAGTACTTAAAATGGTAACTTAAAACATTAAATAAGGTTTAAATTTCCTACACAATGTTTTTTTCCTGTACAATTCAATGACGACACACACACACACACACACACACACACACACACACACTACAGTACTGTTGATGGTATCTTCTCATATTTTGAAGTAAATCATTGTCAAATTGGGAGTAATGCCATTTCTCATTCAACATTCCCATTCAGTTTGTAGGTAATAAATAACATTATTTCATGCAGCCTGTTTCTAGATTTCATCTTTTTGTGTATATTAAAGCATAAAAAATTCCATATTTGTGAAATATCTTTGAAACCTGAAAGGCTTTTGGTATCTTTGACATGGTGAAAAGTGGGGTTTGGTACATTGGGCATGGATGGAGAACTTGCCATGCTTGGCTGTACATCTGGTTTTGTTGCTTCTGTGAAGAAAGAACTTCAAGTCCTCATGACTCATGTCTTTTTCAATTGGCTTGGCATGTATCAGCATCAGAAATGGTGAGAGTAATCCAGAAAGATACCACCCTGAAAGTAACCAACTCTCTCAGAGCCAAAGCCTTTTAACCCCTACCATTTCAACAGATTTCTTAAGAAATGGAAACAGAATAAGAGATTCCTAGTAACTGAGAGGTGTATGGTTTCCTAAAGGATTTGTCTTAAATCACTACATTGTAGTTTAGATAGCAGTCTCCTTATTTATTCATTTATTAACTTGCTTATGAGAAAGAGAAAGGTTATTCTCAGAGACAAGGAGGGGTTTATTCATGGCTTGGCTTACTTGAGAGATATTTTTGGATATTTGAATGAGGTAAAACTTTCAGTTCACAGTGCTGCAGTCAACCTAATGGATACAGATGAAAATCTTAAGTCCATTTGGACAAACTGCCTTGGGAATCTTCCAGTGCTTCAGGATGTGTTTCTGCAAATTGAATTTCAGAGTTACAGTATCTCGTAAATTCATCTGCTGGCAAAAATTTGCAGACAATTGGAATCATAGCAGAATACTTTTTAAGGTTAATTATACTTTGGTGACCTAAAAGTTTCAATAGAGTTTGTAATCCTTTCCTTGGTGACACAGATATTTGATTATTGCCAAATATGACCTCCTACACTAAGAAGAAAAGAGAAAAATGAATGTAGATTCCACTCAAAGGTTGCAGTGAATTCTGGTGTTTGTTGACATACTCTTTCATGGCCAAATATATTCCATGAGTTCTAAGTATATTTGCTACCAGAGTCATAATTCTAGGAGTCCAGTTTTTTTCTTTTTTTAAATATATATTTTTATTAATTTCAGAGAGGAAGAGGGAGAGAGAGATAGAAACATCAATGATGAGAGAGAATCATTGATTGACTGCCTCCTGCACGCCCACTACTGGGGACCGAACCCATAACCTGGGCATGTGCCCTTGACTGGAATCGAACCTGGGACCCTTCAGTCTACAGGCTGACACTCTGTCCACTGAGCCAAACCGGCTAGGGCAGAGTCCAGGTTTTTAAGCATTTGTTGCCATAATTCAAGAAGATTTATGTGTCTAATTCTGTTGGTGATCACTACACAATTTGAGCATTTTGAATATACAAAGTCATACAAGACATTTGAAATTTATATTCGTATTATATTTTCTTTTTTTCAATCTTAAAAAAATAGCTAAAATAGCTACTGATTTTTATATTAAAAACTGATTTTTAAAAAATATTATCTGTGTTTTATCAGAGTGAAAGAATTGTCAATTTACAAAGCAACAAAATATTAATTTTTATTGATGGAAGTGGAAAAGAGAGAGAGAGGACAGAGAAGAAAGTAACATCTATGTGAGAGAGACATCCATTGGTTGCCTCCTGTATGTGTCCTGACCAGGGACCAAACCTGCAATCCAGGTATGTGTCCTGACTGAGAATTGAACTTGTGACCTTCTGGTGCATGGGAGGATGTTCAGCCAACTGAACCACACCAGCCAGGACAGCAATTAAATATTTTAAATGTATAATGTATATGTCAATGTTTATATACATTTTGGGAGGTGGGGAGTGGGTGCATAGTTTTCATGAGATTGCTTTTGAACTCAACACACCCAATATTTCATTTATGCTCTAATTGGCTTTTCTTTATAGATTATATAGATGCTTTTATTTTAGCTTAATTCCCATTGGGATAAATGTTGAATGACCTGCTAGACACTTAACTATTTTTCCCTGTACAGTACAAACCTTTGGGACATCACCAGTGCTCTTCAGTTGGCAGTAGATTGTGCTAGATGAAAGCATACTCTAGTGCCCTCATTGGGAGCTCATTATCTGTTCTGTATAAGTGCTCTCACACACTCTGGAGATGATTCATGGTCTTTGTGTCATTGTTTTCCCTCTGCCTTTCACAATTCATACTGATTTTACAGTAGTATATGCTTTGTCATGCAAACAGTACATCTTAATAATGTCTTCCTCTTCCCTTTTTTGCTTTCATAGCTTGCTTGTTTTTTTCAGAAAAAAATTTCATTCATGAACTACAAAGAAAAAAAGACCTAATTATTTTTTATAAGAATAGCCTTGGGCTCATCATTTAGCTTGCTTGCATCTCTGTTTTCTCATCTATAAAATTTCAAAGTGATTTCTTAGATTTAGTTTAGGTCATTTAAAATACTGTAGTTTTTATTTCTAAAAATTACCCTTATGAAGGAAAACCAGGAGATTCCAAGGAAAATTAAGTATGACAAATAAATCCACACGCATGTGTGCACACACATATACTCACACACACATACACGAGAAATGACTACAGGGCCCTATTAGAATTCTGGTAAAGTCTTTTTGTATCTCCTTTCCTTTCGTCTCCCCTACCCCCACCATCAAATGTTGGCAGTTTAGGCTGAAAATTTTATGATGTAAATAGCATGGAAGTTTGTTATTCTCTGATGTAAAAGTCCAAATTGGCAGTCCTGGATTAATATGATGGCTTTATGATGTTGGAGGCCCAGGCTTCTTTAATCATGTTGCTTTGCCATTTTTAGCAGGTAGTTTTTATCTCATGGTCCAGATGGCTGCTCTAGGCTTCACTGTTATGTTCACCTTTCAGGCAACAGGACCAAGTAAAAGAGAAAATAAAGAGTCATGTACCTTTTCTTTTAGGCTTTCCCCCTAAAATTGCATGCATTACTTTTGCTCACGTCATGTTGTCCAGAACTAAATCACATGGCTTCACATAGCTACAGGGAAGTCTGTGAAATGTGATTTCAACTATGTTCTATGCCCCAAAATTTCCATTTGTATACAGAGTGGAAGGTAGATTTTGAGGGACAACTAGCAGTTTCTGCATGTTAACATTAGGGAAGATTGAAACATCACTCAGGAAGGTTTACTTTAGTTATTACAAGGGTATTTCCCTAGTATTTTTTTTTATTACAAATCTATGTTTCAGTCATATCTTAGTTTAAAAAAATATTCAACATATAGGCTAACTGTAATCACTATATATTGTAACTTATTTTAAAAGTGGAAAATGCATTCTAAGTTCAAACATCCTCCCTACATTTATTTAACTTACATTTCTCATATATATAAATGAGGTAAAATAAATTAGCCGAAAGCAGCTAAAGTTATTTTTAAAAACAGCAGTCCAAAATCCTATATTATTGCCATGTGTCCCTGTGGTTTAGGGGACTTTAAATTCAAATGGCGATTTCCAGATGAAATATCAGAATGGAGCATTTATTATGGTTCTCTGCCAAATATTTTGTCAAAAATAGTAATGACTTTCAGGTTTGTGGGAGTATGGGTTGCAAATGTGTTGTTTGAAGGCCTGAAAAAGAAGTTTTAGTATTCTTTATTTCTATGGTAAAAGTATTTGTATACATCTGCCATGT